AAAGTCACACACAGACACGGAGGTGACATGTAAGGGATTCACCTCAAAAGTCAACACAACTACAACATCAGCAAAATCATTTGGTAACTAGGCTGACAAGACGGTTTTCTATCCACACCTTCATATTAGACCAACACCTGTTATTGATGTTAAAATGCATTTAAGTATCAAGTTTGCTCATGTAGACAGAGCAGATGATTCAAATAATGAGAATGTAAATAAACTCAAATAATGAGAATGTAGAATATATTTGCTGTTGCTGTCATGAAATTCTGCCAGCTACATATCTTCAAATATTAAACTCCACTCACCTACACAAGTCCCGACATAATCTGCTCTAACATTATTTAATTTATATATTAACATAACATTAACCTTCATATTTAACATTATTAACACAGACTCCTGAGTAAGAGAAACAAGAACTGTCTGTAATGTCTAAACACCCACAGTGTTCAACCCTCTCTACTAAGTAAATACTACTACCTGCTAGCTGTAGAAGTCATTACCATAATTTTGGAAAAGGGATGAAAAAGGACAAAGTACTTATCTCCCTAGGGGTATTCCAAGGCACAGGCAGATGATGGTTTCACTAGTTTCAGGTAAGATTCCTCAGGGAGTGCCTTTACACCAAGCTTGAAGAACAATGTCCCTAGATAAGGAATCATTAATTTGTTACCTAATAGCATAAAACTTTCAATTTAAATCGTGTTGCATGTTAACATTCAGAGCAGGGCAAAATTGACAAAAAAACCTGATAGAAATGAGGTGTCCTGAAAGCTGCTTGTGAAATGACCCAGTTTTATTATATGAATCTGCAGAATGGGCAGAGAAACATGTTATCCATCATCTATAGAAACTGCTTGTGAACTCTGTTCAGGTCTTTGATATGTTGTAAATTACAGCTACTCATGGCTCTTACAGTGTTTTACAGCCACACCCCACACTATAACTTGGTACTGATACTCAGGTGCTCCCTACCATCCCTGGTTCAGGGCACATCTGGGGTTTCAGACCAGAAGAGCATCACAAGAACACTGCAAGAAGTCATGACACAATGGTCAAAAAGAAGCATGTGCATAAGGCAAGCCTCTCCTTTTAACAAAGCCCTCAAACAGTTTTTAATCATATTCCTAATAAAGCCAATGCTTAATTTCAACCACTTTATTACTATAGTGGCATTATCTACTCATATAGAAGAAAAAAAAATACAGTATTTTATCTTAACATGGATTAAAAGAAGGACTGTGTTAGGTCCTGTAAGATGCATTCCAGTGCTCAGCAGTGTTAGACCAAAAAAAAATAACCTTTTCCAAATTGCCTGGAAACACCATACATTAGAACTGTATTCAGTGTAATCACACACGAATATCAACATGTAAAAAACTAAGACTACCTTGAATTTTTTGCTACAATGTTTGAATACTGTATTTGGGCTCATATATTGACAACAAGGACAAAGTTTTAAAAAAATCTAAAAAAATCATGGCAGCAAATACAAACATATGCTTAGCATATAAGCAATTCTTACTGAGCTATAAATCACTAATGAAATTAGTATTTCTAATTACAGTCAGAATGATGATGGGAGGTTGCAGACAAGTTAATGTGCCATGTCTACTCTTGGATGCAAATGTGCAGCAGACATTCAAGAGCAAGAACAAGCACTGAATGGCAAGTCAGGACACTATTTCTTCTTCTAGAAAGAGTTAGAAATTCAGCTGAGAAATACTTATAAAAAGCTAAGAATTCAACTGAACAGAACTTTGGGCAGTAACTGAAGCAGAAGATATGATCTAATCAATTCCACATATTTTGTTGCATTTTGCCCCGAATTTTTCTTTATAGAATGTCTTAATTCTAGATACCTAAAAACATACAATGAGCTTACCTGGAAAGAACAGGACTCTTCCTCTGGAAATTAATCAGCATTAAAAATGAAAAGAACAATTAAAACAAAGGCAAGGAAACAATATTTGGACTTTCTTACAGTAATGCACCATCTTAGGTAATGACAAATTACACATATATGCTATAATACCATCTTATACATAACTGTTACCTTTCTAATACACAAAAAACCACTTTTACTGGTTTTTAATAACTCATTCTCACAAACATAGAGAACATAGATTTCAGATATGAAAGGAATGCATAATCCTCCTCAACATAATATCCAGCAAGAAACATTGTCATCAGGAGGAAACGAGCAACAAATTCAAATTTGGAAAATGACAATTGCTTAAATACAACAGAACATGCAGGGCTGATAAGGAAATACATTCAAATATGAAAGTTACTGACAACAAAAACCAGAAGAAATGCAATGTTTCATTTATCAATTTAAAAAAACGAACAAAGTCTATTACAGTATTTTGAATTACAGCCACAAAAATAAGTTAAAAACACATACAAAAGAATTATGTACTACTAAGAGCCTGTGAGAGGCCTGTATGCACATGAAACACAAGCAAAATGAGATTGTTTTGTCTTTTTGAGGAAAAATGACATAATAGTTACTAAAACATTGTAGTAAATAACCAAAGGTGTTACACTATACAAGTTTAATCTAGAACATTAATCTACCCTTTACTGAAACAAATAGAAAGGGAGGTTTTCCTAAAGTTTATCTAAAACAATGAAGTTGAATAAAACTATACAATTACCTGAACTCTTTGAGAATTATCTGAATTCTTTGTGAATACATTTTTGGGCACTTGTGGATTGCTTAGAAATACAATACTGAAAGAAAAGTTTATCTTACTTTATTACACTCAATTTTTTTTCACCATTGAACTGATATCTTTTGCTTTGAAGATAGTCCTAAGTTTATTGTTATTTGACCATTTACCATGTATCCCAGAGATTCTCAAATAAAACTACCAAATATCCAAGCATTCAATAAATACTAGTACACCCAACATATAAGTCCAGAAAGAAAAATCACATAATTCAAGTTATTGCAAATAAATAGCTAGCTATAACTTCTATAACTTTATAAATATTTAAACAAAATTCTGCTAAATATAGGTTAGCCTCCTAAATATACAACTAAACTAACAAAACCATTGTCTAAAAGTCAGAAAATAGTTCAGAAAGACAAGTTTATTTTTGGGAAGTTAGACTCCTACACCATTTGCTTTTAGGGCAAACTCAAAGTACATTATCCACTACCTCCCAAAACTCTGTGCTAGCTATTCCTCTTTGGTTAGTTAATGAGTTATAGACTTAAAGCTACTTAAAAAAAATAAAAATCCAAATACAGAAGTATCTCAGTGAGAAAATGTGCACATGCTCCCCAATGCAAAGGTCACAGAAATCAGTACGCCCTCCTGAAATCCTTTCTGTTCTCACAAAGCAAGTGCTGCCTCCCCTTGCCCAGAGTCACACCTCAGAGAAGAGCCTTTCCTCTCTGTGAGGAAACACAGCTAAAAATGCAAAATCACTTTTCAGCAACAAGTCTGTGAGATCTATCCTTCTGCTGGAAAACAGAATTGGGCTGTCAAGTGAAAGCATGGAAGTCATTGATTTACAGGCAGGAGCAACTGTTCCTTTACAGAAAGGAGCTACTGTTCCTTAGTACAGCAGGCAGTTTTCCAAAGCTGCATGGCATTCTATTCCAAAGCAAAGAGGGAAAAGGAAAGACCAGGACATATGCCTGGTCCTTCCTTTAAACACCCTGGCAAATATTGACAGGTGTACCAGAAATATTAAAACCAGGCTACATGTCACAGAGCTCCAGCCACGTGGTAATTATTTGACTTTTTTGGTCCCTTCCAGTACAACCAGCTTTAAAGTGTTCTCAACCTGCTTTTTATGTTTTTTGGAGACTTTTTTAAAGAAAGTCACCAATTATATCACTTGAACACTCCCACTACTGTGATTCACGAAATCAAAGAATATAAAAAATAAAGAAATATCAAGCTCTGATATTTCTTTAATGTCTTGCTCTGATAAGACAAACAAACAAAATGTTGATAAAACATGTAATTGCCAACAGAAGAAAGAAACCATTTTTACTTGATTGACATCAGTGGAATTCTTCCTTTCCCATTTACAATACTTCACTAAGACATCTCAGAGCACTCCTACAGAATCTCCTGATCAATCAGATGAGGTACTTCGGTAAACATTTTAAAACACCTTTCTATTACACATTTTCTTTAGTACAAAACAGATGTGAGAAAGAGAATGGAGGGAGTGGTGGCAGGGAAGAAAGGAATAAAGACATTTTTACCACTTGCCATTCTACTGGTAAGGGACTCCCAAAATGCTTTTATATAAATGCACCATCACAGGTGTCACATGAGTCATTCGACATTAACATCCATTGTGAACCTGAAACCCAATGATTTTTAAGACAGTTTTTTTTTGTTTATTAGTTGCAGATTTTTTTAGTGTTTCTGACTATATGCAAATGTTCATAACAGTCTAATTAATCTAATTGCAGCAAGATTTCTTTGTGAAGTTTTTTTTTTGCTTTAAACAGAATAACAGCATGCTTTTATATTTACCTATTGCACAATTAATTGCTTTTTAATTATATTTACTATTACAGTAATTCCACTATTAGAACAAATAGGTCCAGAGAACCCATTTTAATCTGTTGGCTCAAGGACTCTCAGAACAAAATAATAATAATTTAAAAAACCCCACCAAAACTCCAATTAAACCATTACATAGAAATATACAGAAAAAGCCTGGAAGAGTTCATGAGTAAACAACACTTGTTTAAAAAACACCTCTGTAATAAAGTACAGTACAGTATACAGATGCCATACCATAATATCTCCAGATGGAGCTGTTACAGACAATGATAATGCCTTTAAAATGCTTATTATGAGCTCTTTGTCTTTTGAAATCATGGTTTTAAAAAAATCTTCAGAGGCGATTTAAAGCACAAAAACTACTTTTAAGATTCTACCAAAAAGTTGATTTATAATCAGTAAAAAAAAAAAAGAATGAACATCACATCTGAGCAAGCAGCCATCACATCCCTACTGCTGCTCCCAGGTTAGCACAGTAACCTCCAGCCTTTGTTCCCAGAGTTATTCCATCTGCTCCAACACTACAGGCTGATGGAGGCTGGAGTATTCCTCCCTTTGTATTTCAGTGGCAATGTTAACATTCCTACAACAGTTTTATAGAAGCAACAGAATTAAAATACTATCATTTAATAACAGATTTCTGTTATTAAATCAGCCTTCTAAAAATATAAAAATATTTGATATTGTGAAAATGTCTTTCAATCATACTTCAATTTTCAGTTTTAATAAGGAGTACCTAATTAGAACCATCACTTTAGAACTATGACTTTCTGCTCATTTCACGTAAATAGACAAACAGTTAAAAACATATTTACTAAGATGAAATAGAATTGAATAGCAAAAACATACAATCTGACAATGTTGTCGTGTGCTCTTTCATAGAGTGCATAGGACATATTTCTGCAGCAGTCAATACAGTAATTCTTGTGATGCAATCTCAGTCAAAGGTGTAAACATTCCTAATTGTAGTTTCTTGGAAACTTTTGGTTCTTTCAAGTTTTTATTAGCAAGTTGCACTGGGTATTCCCCTGACATTTCCCCCCCCATCAGTTGCAGACAGCATCACCCTCCACTTGTAACCCCTCTGGCTGTTCAGAACTACTCTTCAGCATTTCTTCAATAGATGCAGGGCAGTCATCCTTCCCTGGCAGTGCACAGTGACACTTCCCACATGCCAGTGCTAGCAAGGCCCCCAGTGCATGATCTCGAGAAGCAGGTTGATGAGGAAGTCTGCTATGCCTTAATGGGATTTCCTGCAGGTTTGGGATCATAACCATATAGAAAAGTAGCTGCTATTACAAGGATGGCTCCGAGGAAAAAGACACTGAATAGAACAGGGATGAAAAACAAAAGTTAGTTTTAGTTGATGCAAGTTTATTTATGCAATACAATCAAAAGAAAGAACATTTTTCCATGAGGAAAACAGAAAGATAAATTATATTAGTCCAATTGATAAAGAGCAAAATAATTTTTATGCATTTCTTTTAGAGGGATGCAGAAAGTTGTTGAGGTAAGAAACTTGTAACTACAAATTCATGTATCATTATACTAACATATTCTGAAAATTAAAACTACACTTTCATGGAATTTCCAAAAGCAATCATATCAATCCTTTTTTCCTTAAACTTTTACCTAAAGATTTATGCAAAATGGAATCAGGAGCTGAAGAAAAGCAGTTTCTGTGGTTACCCACCCATTCTTATACTACATACATCATGTTGTTGGAGCTGTGTTTGCTTTGAAGTCCAAAGCTTATGTCAAAATAAATTACTGCTGCCCAAGAACCAGTTTGCAAGTCAGTATAATCTAATTTTTGTCAGATACAGAAAGATCTTTCTTATGAAAACACAATAAAGGCATCTTTTCTATTGTGACATTTTGGTCTTTCAAGTTTTTTGATAGTTAAAGTCTGATACCAAATAACCAAAGCCAGCAGACAATCAGTACATATTTTAGAAAAGAATCTCCTCACAGACATGACATCATCAACAATTTCATCTTCTGAAGCAAATGCTAAAAAAACTGTGGCATATAATATGATAATCCTTCAGAGAATAAATTTAACCTGTTTTGAGACATGGCCCCTTGCAATACATTCAAGCATTTAAGTACTTTACATCGATTACCCCATCAAAACTGTTGATGTGACAGAAACAATTGCACAGTTTCAGTTCAAATGCATTGTTAGCATAAGCAAGGTACTAAAGATTAAGTTTGATTAACTCAAGTTAGTCAAGTTTTATTAAATGGGATTGCCTCAAGTTCTACCTACTGCTACTTGGCTGTATTTAATTTTCAACATGTTTGCAGAAGCTGTTAAGTTACTTATTAATTTTCCATTTGAGTACGCAGAAATTCTTAAAGCACTTTCTACATTTGTTTTAATGGGACAAGTATAATCTACTTATAATTTAAGTTCAATGTCCTCCACTTTTTAAGACTAAACAACTATTCAATTTCCTTTTTTGAATGCTTAAGTCCTGATAATACAGAATCACAGAATGGGTAAGGATAAAAGAGACCACAGTATTGCAAATATATATTTTTAGATAAAAATATGTTTCTTTGTACCAGATACAAAAGTCATAAATATTATTCAAAATATTCTTGTGTTATGAGTACATGTAACATATGCAAGGAGTGTTGGTCAGTCATAAGTAAAATCCTATTCCTACACCTGGAAGTGGGATTATTAATTCTACACTCCATATAGGAACATGCACTGCCAAGACAAGCAGTGTTCTCAACCTACCCATGTACAAAGCCTGTGGCACACAGAGCCACTAGTGTCTGATCCCCAAAGCATCAGGACACTGTACAGGGCCTAGAAGAATGGAGCAAGGACTTCTTTTTCTTTCTTGGCTGTTCTCACTACAAAATGCGGCATTGCCTTTAGAAACAGCTTTGCCTTTGGGCTTCTGCTTGCCTTTGGGCAACTCAATGCTGCAGAGTCACTTCCATGGGTGCATGACTGCAGTCACCTGTGTTAGAGCCTGTGCTGCGGGCGATGAAAGGCAGCACAGGGCGATGCCCCTGTGCTGGCCCCGCAGCGCGGGACACGGAGCAGCCGCAGCCCCTGGTCCCGGTCCCGCAGCGCGGGACACGGAGCAGCCGCAGCTCCTGGTCCCGGTCCCGCAGCGCGGGACACGGAGCAGCCGCAGCCCCTGGTCCCGGTCCCGCAGCGCGGGACACGGAGCAGCCGCAGCCCCTGGTCCCGGTCCCGCAGCGCGGGACACGGAGCAGCCGCAGCCCGGGCCAGGGGCGCGGTGCCCGCAGGGGGCGCGCCCGGCCCGAAGAGCGGCCCCGGGCAGCGGCAGCAGCCGCAGGGAGCGCGGCCCCCGAGCCGCGGGACCCCGAGCCAGCGGCTGCTCACCCGCCTGAGAAACTCACTGTTAGCTACGGGATGACGCTAAACCTTGATGTGCAAGACATTCCGAAGTGCGGCTTGGATGGGATTTGTCTTTCATTTATTTTCGCAGTTATATCTGGTAAGCAGTAAATTTTCAACTATTTTCTTTTTTTTTAGTAAACATGGAAAATAATTCTTACCTTGTAGGGACAAAATCTTGCAGCCAGAAATAGGAGATCAATGTTGACAGTATAATGGAGAGAGAAGTTGCAAATCCCTTTAAAATGTTGTCGGCATATTTTATAACAGCAGCAATCACCAACCCTCCAAGTGCCTGGAAAAACAGCAAGGTTTGGATTCACAAACTGATAATTTGACTGAGAGCATCTGTTTTGACACCATGCACCTACTTTAGGAAAAGCTTTTGTCTGTGTTGAGGAGCAATACATTTTTTTTATATTAGGAATATGTACAGTTGACAATAAATATTGGAGGAGTAGTTCTTTCCCCATTAAAGAAATTGTTGATCACATTACCACCATTAAATGAGTGGAAATGCTTGTACTGTACATTTTTAGTCACATGGGGAAGGGCATATAGAGAGATAAATTTAAACATCACAAAATAAATAATGCTTACGTGCTTTTAATTTGCACAATACTTAATCACATACTTGCTACATACTTTCCAGATTTTCATTCAGAGTATGATAATAATGATAAATCAGACTTTCAACTGTAGAATTCTCAGCACTTTCAAGGACACCCATTAGTTCCCCCAGTTATTTATAAAAGAGTAAATCCCTGAGTGCCTTCACAGAAACATGGAACACGAGGTCTCACCTGTAGAACAACCACCACCCAAGTAAGTTTATTGTATCCTTGAAAAAATCCATTCTTTGACAGTTGTTCTCCATCATAAATGTAAACACCCATCAGTCCAAATATGCTACCAAAAAACCCTGAAAGTACAAGATTGGTTTAAAAGCTTCAGGTGAAAAACATGCAAACAGGTTCCTTGTCCTTAAAGGCTGCTCATGCATTTCTGATTTTAAAATTGGACCGTTACTTGCAATACCATCACATCCAAATGCAATCAGCTTGCTGTTCTCTTTTAAAAGCTATTCTCCACATCTGAAACAAGTTTTGATTGTTTCCATACAGATATCCTTATATACTTATCTTCCATTGCTTTCTACTGGAATGGAGAGATTTTTGTTTATGGCATATAGCAAAATTCACTTAAATGCAATTTCAGTTTTCCTGAAACTAGTAATGACTGAAGGCTGAAGTCACCCTATATAACCTGGAGAGAAAAACAGGGAAAAGTCTCAGTGGAATAGAAGGTCTCTGGCACAACAGGAGCAGCAATTAGCAGTTTGCCAATTCAGACAAGGATCTTTGCAATGGGATTCTCCTGAGCCAGTCTCAAACACAATGAATTTTTACTAGTAGAGACATAATGTCAAAAGCTGAATCTGAGGTGAGACTGTGGAGTTTTTGATTTGGTGAGTCCAATGTTCTTCTATCATGTGGGAAGCTTTTCCTAATTCCTCGAGCATGTCAGCAGCTACCCTGTGATTATGTCTGCTATAGTCCTGAGCATGAAAGGGGCAACACTTTTTTCTATTCCTTCTCTGTGAAAAGGTGATTTTCATCATATTTCTCAGCATCCAAAAAAGACAGAATTGTTTTGAACAAAATAACACCTTCTGTTTGACAAGAAATAATTCTTTTTGTAGGCAAAACTAAAAACGTAGTTATCATTCAGATTAAACCATTTACTTGTCATTTCCAATTAATCTGTTAAGATGAAGTACAATAAACTATTCATACATCCTTATTATAGCATTGGTGTGCATTAAAAACTGATTTTTAAAACAATTCTAATTTATTTTCCCATTATTTTCTACAGTTTTAATACTTCTCTATGGATATGAAAATGAAAACCTGGTTGGATGGACATGCAGGTTTTTTGCTTGTGTTTTAAGAAAAGCTCTACTTCAGAGTTCTTGCTTATGAATGTCTGGCTAACACTTATGGTCATATAAAAATGTTTGAATGTATTCAAAATTAACTTCTGCTTTTTTAACTGAAACCATTTATAAATACAGTAGTAAGAAAATAAAGGGAAAAAAAGATGGCTTATTGACCAACTAACTAATTACAAAAGAAGCCACACCATCTCCTGTTCTTACAGTACTGTGCTACATTCTACCACTCTCCACACAGCTCTGATCCACCAAATCATCTCATGACTTAACTTTACACTGTGGATTTGATCCCTAGTCCATCCTAAAGTAATGGGAAGGTCAAATTCTGCTCAGTGCACTCATTCAAATGTGCCATAAATAGATTTTGCCTACAAAAGGTAGGTGAAGACTAGAGTGGTTAATGTATGTTAATATAGGTGATGTGAATATACGATGATAGGTGCACTGTAGGTACAGCTGTACAAATAGTTAAGATGAACTGGTATTTTCCATATGCCTCTCCTCAATGATTATGCACACAAAAGAAAATGACCTTTGGTATTGAAATAACAGTAAATAATTACCTCCACTTTGTTCACAAACAAAGCCAATTTTATAGCTTGCACTTTTAATACAAAAAGCTGCCTACTCAGGCATGAGAGAAAAAAATACATTAATTTTAAAACATCTCAAAACACTAACTTGGAAATGTATTTTGTTTTAATATTCCTACATTCTCTAAAAAACAGTAAAAATAAATTCAATTAACAGTTTCTGCACAAATGTACAGTTACTCTCTTAACAAAGTAAATCAAGAACTAGACTGAAATCAGAAAGAAATTGCTATAATTCCCTCTAGCAGAGTTTGAATTTTGGTTTTAAAAAAACTTATATGTAGCATACTAAAATATTGGTGGTATTTTTTATTTATACATTTATTTTGCACAATTGTCTTAATGCTTCAGAATGCAGTATCTCTAACAGATGATTAAAATTAAACTTACCAAGCTGAATGTTTCTGATCCACACAGATTGCTTAGTTTCCTTTAAAATTTTCTCAAAATAAACTCCAGCAAATCCACTAGAAAAGCACGCTATGAGAACTGCAATCAGGCCTACAAACTGTGATCCTGCTGAGTGCTCCTTAGCAGGTGTTGCTTGAGAGTCTGAAGGCCACTGGATGTAAAAACAATTACATAAAACTCACTGATGAAATCAAGTCATGAGTATCTACAAAATGCAAATCTGTTTTCCACCAAGAGTAACAGTTACTAAATACAGACAATCACATACTTGAAAATTTTTGTATTTTGCACTACAAATATTTTTAAAAGACTGCAAAGCTGTAATTATTTTCCTATGTATTTGTAAGAAGTAAAATTGTGCCTGAACTGGGAGAATACTCATCAATTTAAACAGATGCAGGATTTATATTTTATAAGCAAGAACTGTTTTTGAATCCCAGTATGACTTATCATGGTCATTCTCTGCCACCAACTTGTGCCACCCAACAGTTGCTCACCTTACAAATATAAGCACAGTTAGGAAACTACTTACACCAATTGTCTTTAAGGTAGGATGAATTGTGTTTTTCGTGTGCCCCTCTTAGGTGATTGTGCAGACCAGTCAAATCTTGCAATGTGTCTAAGGCCAACTGAATAAAATGCAATGCCATGGACAAAAACTTTCTGAGGAGTCTGTTAAATACTGTCAGAGTATTTTGTTCTCATTTTTCATAATTGAATTTAATCACTGGATCTTTTTCCAAATTCTTAAATTTTAAAATAAAAGATTTCCAGGTATACTAAAATCTGCTAAAAATTCTTAGAATAGTCTCTTATCCTATGATCCTGCCCTCTGAAAACTATCAACTCTGATACCTGCACTATTGAGAACTGGGGCCAATTTAGGATTTTGAAATCAGTCCAAAGTAAATTTGCCATGCTGAATCCATATGACAAAGTGAACACAGCCTGCACTGGTAGACATGATCTCTGAATTCCTAATGCTTGAAAAAACGTGCTAATAAAATCGCTATCATTATTACTTGCAGGTTGCTCCAGAGGCCCTGTCACATTCTATAGTAGAGCACTGGGTTGCAAAAGAGGCTTTATCTTCTGCCTTTGAACCACTTCTGGTGTCCTCCAGACCTGGCCAGCTGTGATTCGTAGCTCCTGACTATACTCTGGGGCTCGTGTGCAGCTGGTAGAATCAGAAAGCTGGATAATCAGTATAGAAATCCACGCTTCTTGAATAAACACATTAAAACCCCACAAATCACCTGCAAATATTTACCTGCACAAATGCCACTCCTGTCATCAATATTACTAGTGACAGCCACTGGTATACACCCAGTTTCTTGCTCAACATGGACACAGAAAACAATGCTGTGGTGAGAATTTTCAGTTGATATGTAACCTAGAAGAACCAGAACAGTTACTGCTACTATGCCACAATTCATGGGGCTTTTTGTTTCTTCTTTTTTTTAAACTTACAGAGAATTCCAAATATGCAATACCTGGTATGTGGCTGCATCTAGGTTTGACAATGCTACATACAGCAAGTTGTTCTGAAGAGTGTAAATTCCTGAAGGAATAGCAAGTTTAAGGGTTTCCATGGGTTTGTTAAGGATTTCATCACGTAGCACTCTGTTCAGAGTCCGTAAATTGCATTCTACCCAAAGAAACAGTAAAAGAAATAGACATTCACTAAAAGGAAAGGAGTGTAAAAAAGAGAAACAGCAACGTTCTGTTCTTAAATTGTTGCCCCTTTTTATAGCTAGCACTACACCAAGACCTGAAAATACTATCTATGTTTCACTTTCACAGGCTTTGTATATTTCCTTATGGAAATATGGCTGCAAGTATCTTCCTGCAGCCTGGAATATCAGAATGAAAACAATTATTCAAAATACTTTGAGTTAAACTTACTGAAATTCTATCAAGGGCTTAAGATAATATATCAAAGAGTACCACCTAAAAAGTGCACATTTAGAATCCTACAGAGTCATCAATATTTATGAATAGGCAATGACATTTTTAAGCTATTGAAAATCAAACAGAAACCAGATAAATTCAGTTTTAAATACACGAAATAAAAACTAGAGTAAATGTGAATATAGTTTTCTTTTTTTTTAGCTTTAAACTATGATTCTTCCTGTAACAATGAAATTGCTTCTTCCCTTCTGCATCTGCTGTTTATCACTGGTTTCTAAATTACCATTCATCCTTTGGACACACTTAAAACTTTCCATTTTTTCCTACTTCTATATACAGATTTCTTAAAATGACTGAGAAAACACAAACTTTGAGATGTTAACATAAAATTCATTCCTGCCCTCCTCAGTATCCATTCTCTCAAGTAAATATGCAGTATGATTATTGTCTTTCCAAGACTATTTCTTACACAAGGAGAAGGGAAATGCTTTGTTGTATGCCTGTACTCACATGGCTGCTTTGCAGTTGCCACTACAATACAGCATATTGATTAGGAAAATTACTTGGTGCAAAATTTGACACATACTGCTGTCTTTGTAGACTAATAGAACACAGGCCAAAATCTTCAGAAGTTCAGCAATAACTACTGCAGTAGAGGATAAGTAACGAGGTCCTTCTTCTTTCAGCGTCCGAGAATAGCGCATGGTCAGCACTAAACTTGTGGTCTGAAAAACCAGGATGCCCAAGGAAAGGTACTTTAAATTGGCAGACATTTCTTGACCTTTTCCTTTCTGAAACAGAAAAAAAGAAACAAACCCAAAGGTAATATTACAGATATTGGGAATCACTGGTTTGTTTATGTAGGTGAAGGCTCAGAAGGTATTTTCAGGGTGATGGTGTTTTCTGCTGGAGTACAGCAGAATGCCCAGTGCTCCTGCTGCAGTGAGCTGTTCCCAGACTGAAGAGATTTTCCCACTCTTCCAGCTCTCCCAAGGCTGTCAGGTTGCAGCCTCTGCCTTGCCAGGTGGCACCGGGCCTGCAAAAGAAGGGTGAGGGTTGGGCTGCTTTAAATGAGAATGAGAGGTATGCCTGACAGTGAAGGGAGAGTTGTGGGAAAGCAGAGTTGGAGAGGAAGACATGGGATGGAGAAGCTTTAGGGGAGGCAGCACTAAACCTGTCCTGCTGATCATCCTGCCCAGAAAAAAATTCATTGAATACAGATGACTAGGTCACTGTAACTGCTTTCTCAGGCTGCGCTGACTATCACAAACTTCATGTTGGTACAGCTGTACCATCCTCATCTCTACCAGGAACTTTCACCATGTTGATGCAGTTTTCTTTGCAATGTGTCACCAGTTTAAAGGATTAACTTATTGCAGAAGACTAATAGAGACAGTATTTTTCATTTTGCAACCACAATATATGACAAGGTGATTTAAAAAAAGCTTGCTGCTACTCAGACTATCACATGATTTTTGCTATGCTTCATATAAAGAAATTTCATACACAGAAACTAATGCTTTCTATAAAAGATTATCTTCTACTCCCTTCATTGCCCATTTACTCAAAAACAGAGCCATTTTTAACAATGTCAAATTAAATCAATAACTAGAAATTTACAACTATGTTTACAAGCAAAAGAAGAGTAACAAGCCAAGATAATGCATGTGGTTCTCAATCTCAGAAGTCAAGACGCAGCCCAGCTGCTGGGTGCATACGGCAGAGCTGTCCTCGTGTTTTACACCTGCAGGCACACAACTTCTGACTCATTAACTACACAGCTTTGTCCACACTGCTCAAGGATGTGCTGGTACCTCTAAGTATTTATGGCTAGAACTGAAGCAGTTTCTTGCTAACTGCATTTCTCTAGCTCAAGATGCATTTCATTGCTGGTTTTGTAGACATTTGGAGAGCTAAACTCTTCAAATATTTCTGATTTGTCCTTACCTTGTCTCTAAGCATTTATAGATTTTCTCCAGTCAAATATTCAAAGTTAAATTATTACCTGTACAACGCTGACACTTAAAAGACATTGCAGTAACCTGCAAACAGGAGTGAATTATCAACAGCCACAAAGATATGAAGCACACATTTGTATCCTATGCAATAAAATTATTCGTCTTAAAAAATCATGCCTTTGTAAAAATATTTGTAAAAGCATACTGGCAAATAAGGAGGAAAAAGATGCCAGGATGCTGAAACAAAGGAAGAAACACACAGGGTTTCATTAAGGAATCTTAATAAGAGATACTTTTACATGAACTATAATCTCATTTAACTTCTGAAGAAACAAATACTAAAGATGCAACTGCACTGGAGCAGTATGAATCCAACAGAAATATAAACTATGAAGGAGAAGAAAGCTGCAGACAATACTCAAGATTTGCTGTTTTCCACTGGTTCTGGTGAAATAATCCATTACATGAGGGTGTTAACTGTGGAATTATGCATCCTAAACAACAAAACTGGGATGATCTGTTAGTTGAAGAACAACGACCCTGATGCGTAAATTTGCTACAGCTGAGAACAAGTAGGAGAAAAAGAACAGTTCCTGCAAAGTGATGAAGGAGTGACATGCACATTCAGAGACCATGCTTTCTGGAGAAGTACCAGCAACACAGACAGAGTGAAAAGAAGGTAAAGAGGAAAAAAAACCTACTGAGAGAAGATACAGAACTGAATGTCACTAAAAGGCTTGCCTATGATACTAGAGAAAACTGACATTTATGTGAGCCAACTTGAACAAACAATTTCTTTCACTGTTCCCATCTACCTCATTTTTTAGTATTCAGACTTGAAAAACTGGAAATAGAGCAACATATTGTTAAGACAAAAATTTCATGAAAGCACACATAAGATAAGTCCTTAGAACTTTAAACTGTAGGTTTTTAGACTTGTTTTTGGTTGGTTTTGTTTGTTTGTTTTTAGTTTTCAAAATGCTTCTAAACACACATATCCCTCCTGACTCAAACCCAAATTTCTGCATTCTGTCAGCCTGTGAAATGACAAAGGGGTTTACAAATGTTAAAAATCATCAGATATCAATTCTGTAACCTTCAAAACAGACAGTAATATTAAAAATAATGTTCACATTAATTTCTTTGTAAAATACAACCACCTATTTATGAAGCAGCTTAAAATGTAATTTTAAAAGTAAATCACAAGTATGCTAATGAGCAAGTAGCAGAGCATTCAGCATGAAAATACACCAACAAGCACAAGCACAACACTTTGATAAGCCCATAAACAAAGCCATAAGAATCCATACCACATCATTATATTTAACTTCTGTCTTCTCTTCCTTGGAAGTCATGATAGTAAAAGGGAACTTTCCCCAATGAATCTCAAAAAGGCACCAGTAGCAGGAAATATTTCCTGCTAATGCAAGGAAATCACTAATGCATCTCAGAGTTCCAAAAGTGCACATAGAAGGGAACCTAAGTGACCAGCATGAGATAGCTGAAATAAGGGTACTTTTAAAAAGTTGTCCTGTCAGTGGTGAACAAGACAGGCTTGTAGACAGCAAGTGTGTGAAGTTTCATGCTGTACTTATAAGCTGGTTCACCGAGCAGGAACTAGAGCTCTGAAACGTACACATGCCAATAACATAATCACTCCTAAGCACACAGAACACCTCACCAGCTCTCCTGGTCCCTTCTCTTTAAAAAGAGAAGCTTATTAGCTCACAGACCTCTCCTGCAAACTGTGAACAATCCACAAAAGGAGCAAGATATTGAACTTTAAAGAGTTGGGCTGTCTTCAATGGCAGTCTCATAGCACCTTTAGATTTACAGGTGACTATCAGAGGTGTAAGAGCTCATTTGTAGCCATGAGCAACAGCCTGTGCAGTCACAGAACAAATGAACTTTTACCTTCAGTAACAGCCCACACCTGGATTGTCTTAAACCAACAATGATATCGAAGTTCCCACTGCATTTCCTGTACAGAGTTACAACTCAGGTTCCTCACTGGGCTCTGGATGCACTGCTCAGTACTCTGCAGGATAAATCTGTTTGAAAACTCAGATTTAGGTTTGCTCATTCAAAGACTGGAAGTTGAGTGGTGACATGAACTCTGCCTTCTGAACTGTACCTTACACTGGGGTGTGCTAAGGACCTGCAGTTCCCTGACTATAATACTAAACAACTCATCTCAGGGACTGGGCTCAGTACTTTCTCCTCTGTTAGTCTATGGTAAAAACATCACTTCCCTCTGCGTCATTCCTCAGGTGTGCCAGGGACACACCCTGCAGCCACAAGGAAGGCAGCCCAAACGGGAGCCAACACACAGGGAGCCAAGGTGGCATTTACAGCCATGCAACATTTGGATTCAGTACCCACAGCTGCATAAAATTTGGATTCTATGTGAAGAGTTGTTCTCCTTGAAAGGAAAAAGGAGAAGGATGCTGGAAAGGTTCTCAGAACACAAACCAAAGCAAAGCAATCTATACAGGAAGCAATACTTTCAGCTCAAAGTACCATACTGCCCAAAGTCTGAAGAATAACTCTTCAAAAGAAGCAGATTTTTTGAAGAGGAAAATCACATATTTCCAGCTCATAATAATAATTCAAAACTGAATACATTTCTGACTTACAGATTTGAACACAAGCCATAGAAGAACGACTGAGGGAGCTGGGGTTGTTCAGCCTGGAGAAAAGGAGACTCAGAGGTGACCTTATCACTCTCTTCAACTTCCTGAAGGGTGGCTGTGGTGAGCTAGGGGTCGGTCTCTTTCTCCAGGCAACAACAGACAGAACAAGAGGACACAGTCTCAAGCTGCGCCAAGGGAGATACAGGCTAGAATTAAGGAGGAAGTATTTTACAGAAAGAGTGGTCAAATACTGGAATCATCTATCCAGGGAGGTGGTAGAGTCACCATCCCTCGAAGAGTTTAAAAAAAGACTGGATGTGGCACTTGGTGCCATGATCTAGTTGAGGTGTTAGAACATGGGTTGGACTCGATGATCTTAAAGGTCTCTTCCAACCTAGAATTTCTGTGATTCTGTGATTTTCATCTCCCTTTGTAATACCTCCAACCCAGGCTAAAACTTAATATTTTACTTTTATTTTATTAGGTTTTATTTTTAGTTCATCCCTACACTTTCCCTACTCAAATACTGGTAAATTCTAATATTTGCAGATGAAATTAGGCCCTAATCAATTTGACTTAATGAACAGCACACCAAAACTCCTTGATACTAATCAGTGTTTACTACAGAGCAGTAAGATTATGGGACTTTTCTTAACCTTAAGATTTTGTCTTTTAAAGATCTGATGGTATAAACTCCTGAAGTTTTCAGCTGTAGAAGTATCTACTGTTGCAAAATCCTGTGCAAAATTAAGGATTAGTCTATGAACTGATTCTATTCTTAACTTTGTAGAAGGACTCAGAATTACAGGGAGTATCAGAGAAACTTACAGGAAAAACTCCAAGCACCCAACATTATCTGAAGAAGTAGATGAAAGTCAAGAAAAAAATTAACAGTAAATTCCAGCAAGTCTCAAAACAAAAAAGTAAGTTAAATTCACCAAAAAAATTGACAAAAATAACCTCTATTGGCAACTATTTCTTTACTCCTTCATACCCCATCACAAGTAAAGTTTAATTTAAAAAAAAGAAAAATAAACTAACTAGTATCATGCTCCAAATCTTCACAGTGATGTCATTACATGAATTAAATTCCTTCCAGCCTAGCTGTGAAATGTTTTTACTGCAGACAGTTTTTTAAGAGTAAAAAAGCCAAGTTACAGGAGTTATTTTTCTTAGGTCTTATTCCATTTTATGACTAAT